CAAAGGTAGGGTGGAGGTTGCAGCACAAGACATGTTGCTATAAAATCCAACTTTTTTTTTTTTTTCCCTCCCCAGGGACAGAATCAAAACAGAGTCCTCTAGCTCATGTTTATCTGTGCTTTACATTTCAATAAGGCAAAATAACTGCACAGTATAAAAGGAGCATATATATTGTGAAAAATAGCATTTCTGATAACTGGGATATTTTTGTATTAATAATTGTTTTTTTGTAAACTAGGTTCTTTGGTGATTGAAGATAAAGAAACCCCACCACATATGCCCAGGAAAACAGAGTCCTCTAGCTCATGTTTATCTGTGCTTTACATTTCAATAAGGCAAAATAACTGCACAGTATAAAAGGAGCATATATATTGTGAAAAATAGCATTTCTGATAACTGGGATATTTTTGTATTAATAATTGTTTTTTTGTAAACTAGGTTCTTTGGTGATTGAAGATAAAGAAACCCCACCACATATGCCCAGGAGCCCTGTGATGGAAACAAACTCACAGCCACCAGGCAGCTTACCCTCAAACCAGCTGTCTAAGTTCCCAACACAGATAAGCTTAGCTCAGCTCCGACTCCAGCACATGCAGCAACAGGTCATGGCTCAGAGACAGCAAGCTCAACGCAGAGCAGGTCCAGTAGGTTTACCCAATCCAAGAATGCCAGGAGCCATGCACCAACCTCCTGCTTCTCATCAGGTAAGTTATGATTATTTCCAGAGAAGATTCTCTTTTTTTTTTCATAGCACTGAAGGAGAAAGTAAAAAAAAAAGAAGGAAGAAAGAAATTAAGTGTAGATATGTAACTTCAGGCAGCTTCATCTTTATTTAGCACATGGCTATGTAAATGGGTTAAGGAGCATTTTAGTTACTAAGAACTGAATGAGTATTTTAAACTTGGCTGACAATGAAAAATACATCATATGGTATCCAACCGTATATAATGATGAGCTACATATTTTGTATTTTTGTCAAATAATTAAAAAATGCATCTGTCAATTATTTTTTTTCCAAGGCTCTTCTACATAAAACGCTGTGATTCTCTCACAGCTTTCAGAATTGGAAATACTCTCACTGGCTGTTGTGATGTATCTGCATTTATTATATCAGAATAATCCAAAACCATCTACAAGGTTTTATTTTTAACATTGAAAATCAATGTCTTGTGTAATCATTCAGATAAATGGTGTGGTAGTATTTGTATCCAATTTAAAGAGTTTCAGAAGTTTAAAAGTGTCTCTTGGTAAAACTTTCTGGAACATTGAATAGCTATCAGCTAACTTGCAGAATTGTTTGTATGTTTGTTTTCATGCAGGCACCTCCACGCTTGATTCATTTTCAGAATCATAGCCCCAAGTCCAATGGTTCAGCTCTTCCCTCCCAACAGATGAGATTTCCCCCAAATCAGAACCTACCAAGGCAAGCAATAAAGCCCAACCCATTGCAAATGGCATTCTTGGCACAGCAAGCTATAAAACAGGTAGAGTTTCTTTTCCTTTTTTCTTGCCATGTAGAAACAAAATATCAAATGTGCTTTATTCTCTATTATGTTTCTAGAGTGCTTTTTAATTAGAACAGAGCCTGCATTTTTCTCTATGACAAGGTACCCAAATGAGGTAACTTTCATTCTTTGATTTTGCTAGTTCTAAGCAGCTGAAGCATTACAGAAGTGAGCCACTGTGTGTGCTATGTACCTGTTTTGCTCTCTTGTTTGCTGTTACTGTGATTTCTGGCCACTTAGACAAAACTTAACATGGTCATGGGGCTGCACAGTACAGTCAGTGAATACACATAATTTAAAAAACCCACTGTTTAGCTTGATTTTTGTTACTTCACTAGGAATCAGGTAAAAGCTTGAGTTAATAGCTGCCATCATTCTCCAGAGTATGCCAAATCTGAACTTTCACAGATGGGAAGAGAAAAGAAAGCTCACAATTGTGGGACCTCTGCTGAGTAAGGCTGATCAATACCCAGCTAATTAGCAGTTGAACTGGGACAGAAGCAAACAAGTCATATGTTTTTCTGGTCATTCAGGAAGGGAAATCTGTATTAAAAAGCATATTAACACAAGTTGTTAAGATATGTGGAAGGAAAGAGAGAACCATTTCACTAGAGGTATGCAGGAAAGAATCAAATGAATCTGATATGTGACCTGAGAAGTGGAGCAATACCATTAATGTTTGCAGTGCTTGCCATGTCAGAGAGCTCATTCCACCTAAATTGAGGAAAGCTGCCCAATATCTAAGAGAACCTGCAGTAACAAAAAAGTCACTTCCTTTCTGCACTTCTCAAAAGAAGGTTGGTCCATCTGCAAGCCTTTCTTTCAAGTGCTTTCATTATCTGGTGATGTCTTTCTGAAACTAGAAACCAGTAAATGGAATGGCTGACTAAAAAGCAATTGAGCAGAGTCAAGTTCTGCCTGCATTTGCCATGAACTTGGATTAAAGTAATTGAAAACTCCATGCATCTAAATGGGAAAGAATTGAGTCTGACTTGACTGTGCATTCTTCATATCATGGTGTTAAACGTATATGTGGGTGGAGATGCAGTCAGCATTTCAAATCCTTAATCACTTTAAGTTGTTAAGGGAAGTACAATATCAAATATTCAATGCCACTCAAGTGACACTATAGCTATTTACTTAATAAAGCACTGGAACAGTTGTGCATTCAGCCTCTTCTCTGTAGTGCTTTTACTTCACTAAAACTGTTATGTTCCTCCCACAACACTGTCAATGCAGCATAAAATAGTAATAGATACTTAACATTGAGGTACAGCTTTGCATTTAAAATATCACATTAATTTCTTCTATTTGTAGTTTTCAACTACTTGTCCTCTTCCCTTGTATTAAAAGATTGTTTCTTGAAATTTGATAACTTCAGAGTAAATCAGGATTTCATGTCTGAATTTATGCTTGTTTAACTGCTGAGTTAGAACCACTATATTCAGTAGGTTTATCTGTTGAAAAAAATGATACTCAGTCGTGGATTGTCATCTTTTCTTTATAGTGGCAGATCGAAAGTGGACAAACTTCAACTGCCCTTTCAACCGCAAGCACCACAACATCTACTCCATCCAGCCCCACAGTCACTAGTGCTGTAGGATGTGATGGGAAGGCATACGGTCCCCCTGTGATAGATTTGAGTTCTCCAGTGGGTAGCTCCTACAATCTACCATCTCTTCCTGATGTAAGTGTAGCATAAGAGCTGTGTTTATGGATTCTATTTTCAAGTAAGTCTTAGTGAGAAGTAGGAACCTTTTAGACCGAAATTCTTGCTCCGTTTGTCAAAGGGAGACAGTTCCAGAAATCAGTAATGCAGGATTGCCTGCATGTTGCTGGAAATTTTCAGAACTGTTCTGGGAGATAGCTCTTGGGAGCGAAAAATGCCATTGCAGGTTGTAATTGTAATTGGATTTGTTTATTTGGATGCTGCATATTTTTCCCTCACCTCCCATAATGATAGTAACAAAAGTGATCTAGCTTAGCGCTCCTTTACCAGTGTCCATAGATAGCACTGGTTAGCTGGCAGTATTTCTGGTAAATTTTTGACATTTGTTTTATTTTTAACTCATTGAAAGAGCTATATTAGGGTATTAACTGTTGGCATATTTGATATATTCCTTTAATCACTTGCTTTTGGTACTCCTTCATATAAATTGGGAACCCCTAAAACAGAGTTTAGTTTTCTGGCCTGGGCTATGGGTGGAAAGAACAAGTGTTGGTTTGCTGAGTCAATATGCATTGCCCCTGCCCAGAAGGCATGTAGGGTAGATTGAGTGTCCTTTGAGGGTCTTCTGGTCCTGTTAAACTCTAGTGGGTTAATGGGTAGTTTGTGTTTTGCTTACTATGTTTTTTAGAGTATATAACATGAGCATGTCAAAAGAATGTATGGAGATAAAAATTCATCTCTTCAATGTGTGAAAGCTACCTGTCTAATGTAAGCCTTTTCTGTAGCTGATGGAGGAAAATTGTCTCCTACAGAATCAACTGATCTTAAAAAAGAAGCACTGTCTGGATTTGGCCATTTCTTTTATTTTTAGAGAAGGCAAAATTACCTGTTTTAAAGTGACCACCTCACTTTTTGGATGGCTAAAGTTAGTTGACATGCATTTTGGTTTTCACCTTCAAAGCAACAGTATGGCAGAGGCAGGGGGGGTTTTTTTGTTTTTGTTTTCTTGGAGGGGCTTTTTGTGTTGGGTTTTCTTTTTTCCCCTTCCCAACATTAACTGCTTCCTCTCTCTTCTCCTTTCAGATTGATTGTTCTGGAAACATCACACTGGATAATGTTGTAAGGAAGGATGTCACTGCGGAGCAGAATCAGCCAAAACCCCCTTCAAACAGGACTGTGCAGTCACCAAATTCATCAGTACCATCACCAGGTCTCTCAGGTAATTGGAACGTGGTGCAATTTTCTGTTTAAGTGCTGTAATGAAAAAACCATAACCCAGTAATGTTAACACTGATACGAGAACTGATTACTTGTATTTTATATAAAAGATGAGAAATATTAAAACAAAGGCAAAACTACATAAACCCTACTATGAGATAAAATTGGGCAAGAAGAAGTGGCCAGGTCTTACAAACCTAGGGAGAAAAATGTAGTAGGTTTTAGGAAATTGCATAGAAATCCTTAGGAAGGTGGCACTGCAGGAGAAATTCTCTCCCAAACCTCTGTGCTTCTCTGAGTCACATCTCAGGCTTGGCACAGCCCTATGTTTTGTTCTAATTTGATTCTTCTATCCTAGGAGGAGTGAGTGTGACAAACATACATCCTCCAATTCGTTCACCCAGTGCCTCCAGTGTTGGGAGCAGAGAGAGGTAAGGAAAGTGGGAGAGAAGAAAAGTAACTTCCACCTCCAAAGAACAGGCCTCAGTCTCTCCTCTCATTAGTGCATATGGAAGTCACTTTGCTTCATCTTCTCCATTAACAGGCCAGGCCCGATGGTTATTACAACACTCTTTGCATTCTAAAAGTAGTAATTCCATTTATAATGTACTCATAGCACATCTTAAAACATTAACTCTGTAAGTAATGGCTAGGTTGGCATTATTAAAAGAATTCCAATTCTAAATTAGGTTTTAAATTCAGAAATATAAGCTAAAGGAAAAAGTTACATGTTGAAAGGTCTCATGGAACTATAAATTACTTTGGATTTAAGGAACTGATGTTGCAAGGAGGATTATTAAGAATTTTCTGCCATAATAGTTAGTTAAGTGAGCACTAGATACCTACTGATAATCTACACAAATGTTTTTATCACTTAGTGATTGAATAGTAATGAACAAATAGATTTTCACAATGTTGTTCAAAGAGTGCAGATCCTTTAATGTGTTCCAATAAATGAGAGAATACATCTGACATTAGATGAACTTTTCATGCAGAGAAAAATCAGATGACATTCATCCTACTTGAACTGGAAATTTAGATGCTTTTAAATATATAATACCTTTTGCTCCATTCTATTTACGTGGTAAATTCTGTGAAGGACTCATGCACTGTTAAAATGTTTTACTAGCATTTTTTAAAAAAAAATTCTATCTGCTATTGCTTGAATTCATATTGTTAGATGTAAAATCATTCATTTTTATTTTAAAAAAGCTGATAATTTTGAGTTTGGTAGTCCTTACTTATCATGTTACATGAAAAAAGACAGATCTAGTTCTAAAAGGAAGGCCCTGGTTTTGGTAGAGCTGCAAGGCTGTAAGAAACGCTTCCAAGATAATTTAAATAGGTGTTTTATATGGCTTATTCACTTGCATGGTTTACAATGATTAATTCAGGTCTGGACAAACACTGGCCTTCCTCAAAATACAGCTGCATCCCCTCCAAAGTGGGATGATGCTCAGTGAAAATGCTTTTTTGTTTATGATCTAAAAGAAATGGAGATTATTTGCAAATCTTTGCACTAGTGGGTAGTGAAAACAATGAGTAATTCTCTTGTTCTGGAACTGCACCATTAACATTTTACTTTTTTCTGATGTCTTTTCAATATAGATGGAAGGAGATAAAATGTGATGTTGTATTGTATGGAAGTAATATTTTAGTGCTCAGGATTCAAAGAAGCAAAATGGATTAGTGTCTTGAGGATTTGGAGAGCATCAGTGTGCAAAACATACAAAAATTCTGACTCTTGATTGCCTTTTTTCCTTGACTCTTTCTGTCATTTACAGTTCTGGCTCCTCCAGCAGGCCACCAGGTGCTGATTCTACACACAAAGTCCCAGTTGTCATGTTGGAACCAATCAGGATTAAGCAGGAGTCAAGTGCACCAAATGAGAATTATGATTTCCCAATTGTTATAGTGAAGCAAGAAACAGATGAGGAATCCCGGCCTCAGAATGTAATATTAGCAGTTACTAAGATCTCCTTTCTCTTTGGAGGGTATTTTGCATTTATGGGAAATAAAATCATTTACTAGTATTGTGTTGTGGACTTTTTTCGGGGAAAACTGAAAAGCTAAATAAAAGGAAGAGGTGGAACTGCCAGTTCAATTAATTAACTGGTGCAATCAGACTACTTTTATCCACTGATAAAACTAAGGGGAAGGCAAGGAATAGCTTGCAAACATCAAGTTTTCATGTGCTAGGTGCTATGAAGTGTTTCTAATCACAGTGCAGTAATACACAATAATAAGGTAGCTAGGCTTTTGGGGCATCAAAGACTAGTTTTTTAGTAGTGAAGCAGTATATAGCTTTTCATAGCTAATGTCTTATGTTTAGTTGCCCGATGCTATAGTACAATAGTAATTTTTGCATGCATATTGCAAATTGTATGGCTGTACACACATAAATTTGTTATTCTCATAATTTAATTGTTAGAGTCATGTAAATTGACATAAATATTATAATAATCTGTCTTCATTTGTTTCTTCTTAAAGGCTAGCTTTTCAAGAAGCATACTTACTTCGTTGCTGTTAGACAGCAATCATAATTCCACGTCTGAGGAAGCTGTCTTGAGAACAGATGCACCAGACAGCACAGATGATCAACCAGGGATACTGCAGCAGAAAACATCCAGCGGGAAGACAGCTTGGGTAGGTCCCTCCCACACTGGGGAGGGCAGAAAAGAGGATGATCCCAATGAAGATTGGTGTGCAGTGTGTCAAAATGGAGGGGAGCTCCTTTGCTGTGAGAAGTGTCCAAAAGTATTCCATCTTTCTTGTCATGTCCCTACACTGATGAGCTTTCCAAGGTAATTATGACCCCTTCAATTCCATCTAAAATTGCACTAAAAGGACTAAGCTTTGTATTGTGAAACCCATTAGAAGAAGTTTGAGCCTCAAAGGAACCAGTGTCATCTTTGAAGTCTTGCATCCAGAAGTTTTATGAATTGGTGAAAATGGAAATTTACATTGAAACTTCAGTGTAGCTTTATTGTGGCTGCAAAATCTGTAATAAAACTCTTCACTTCTTTTGACAATTAAGCAAGATCACTTACATCTAGGGCATCTATTATTGAAACTAGGCCACAGAATTACCAGTCCATCATGAAATGTTTTAAGGGTGACAGAAAAGATTTGCATTTATTTCTTAAATATGTACGATAATGTAGTATTAAATATATTGCTTACTATAGTGCTAAACATGGCTACACCCCTGGCATGAGATGTATTGATTGCCATCTTCTGGTAACACCTTGTTCAGTGTTGAAATGAGCACCAGTCTTTCTTGACTGACTATTGCAAAACAACTACTGAATTTCTTGTGTTTCAAAATACAGTCTTAAAGAGGTTGTTGTTATAAGCATTACTGGTGTTTACTTCTGGAATTAATGTTTTGATTAAAAGAAATGGCATTTTGCCATGTTCCAACTTAGCAGCAAGCAAATGCCATGCAATAGCTTATTAGTATTAAAGTATGGAAGAATCTGTCATAACATGCTCGTTGTTTAATGCTTTTGTAAATACTAGATTTTCTTATTATGTATCAGTTTGATGGTGTAAAACATTTGCCAAGCAACTTAGTTCAGTATGGTGATCATCTCTCCTACTCTGAACAAGCGTATTTCAGTAAGCATATCTCCTCTTTTAAATGTCACTTGAAATGGTACATATGTAAAATGTTTTTCTTACCTTTATGAAACTTCAAATGACATTTTCTTCCAAACAACATGATACTATGTTACAGCTTTCTGCCTTATCAAAATCCACTAAAGTTACAGTAAGCACTTAAACTAGTAAACAGTCGTGCTTTTCCGACAAGTCTTAAAGCAGGTAGATAGGTATGTATTTTCAAGGCTTTCCTTCTATTTGAAAACTTCAAGAATAAGTCTTTAAAATGTCTCTTTTACTGGATCATTCTGTGTAAACTGAGATTATGATATCTGGGGACAAGGGAGTCAAACCCCAACTTTTCTGACAAGTGTTCAGATCTGTAAAGGTGCATATTAATTAATACAAGCGCACAAGTGTTCCTGGACTTGAGAACCATGTTCAGCTTACATTTCCTCCTGATTGTAGATGTATCACGTTTTTGTTCTCATCTTTGTGATTGGTTAGGTTTTTTTGGTTGGATTTTGGTGTTTTTTTTGCAGCTGTAATAATCTGCCTAACAAATGTTGGTCTCTTAGTATTTGTTTCTTCAAACATACAAAATAATTCCTTTAATATGTCGGCAGTGTCAGTCTGCTACTTTCATGATAGCTTTTTGTTCTTGCTGCAGGTGGATAGAACATTTTCATAGAATCACAGAGTGGTTTGGGTTAGAAGGGACCTTTAAAAGTTATTTTGTCCAACCCCCTTGCAGTGAGCAGGGACATCCTCTACTAGATCAGATTGTTCAGAGCTCCGTTCAACCTGACCTTGAGTGTTTCCAGGGGTGGGGCATTTACATCATCTCTGGGCAACCTGTTCCAGTGTTTAACTACTCATTGTAAAAAACTTCTTCCTCATATCTAGTCTGAATGTACACTCCTTTTATTTAAAACCATTACTCCTTGTCCAACTGCTGTTCCCCTACAGAGTCACAAGGTCACTGAATCTTTTTTCCTGTGCTCCAAACCACCACACTCTTCCTGATTCTTAGATATTTCAATGCATCATTGGTCTATCTTTCATGTGTTTATCATTTTATTCTATCATAAGATCTTTAGGTCATGGCCTGCATCAGTTTTTGTGTATCTACCACATCATTTATCTGATGCGAGTCCAGGCACAGAGGTGACACTGTCATATAAATGACTCCATCAAGTTAAGACAGTAGAAGCTACAAGTCTCTTTAAAATGAAATGCCCATTATTCACTACTGTATGATAAAATAAGGAGATGATGGAAATTTTTTGGCTACTCTGAATAAAAACTAGCAAGATCAATTAATTAAATACATTAATTGAAATTAATTAAAAGGTGCTGCAGAAACTGTTGCCCATTTACAAACATCTTACAGCATACCTCTGAGTAAATGCACACAGTCAGATCTCATAACTGGTTATTGCCGAATTCTGCCTACTGTGTAAGAAGTACAATTCAGCCCTCTTGTGGTTGTCTGCAGACATGCAAGTTTCTTTTGTGGAGAACTACATTGAAAACATAGCCTCTTCATAGGTTTTTCAGAACCTTGAGGTTCACAGATTGTATTAGAGAATCAGTAAACATAGCTTGCAGAACTATTTTCTTATAGTCTGATGCTGTTGTTTAAATCTATAGGGTTTTCCCAGACTGACTGATAAAACTGAGAACATCTGAAAGTTTTAGGAAGTGAAGAATTTCCAGTTTTCCAAAAAACTTTTCTTAGGGTTATCTATATAGGGTAGTGAGTAATATGTCATAGATTAAGACTGTAGAGAGAATATATAGTTCTAACACTAACACTTTTCCTTTGGTTCAGCCTTCAGTCTCTCTGTAGTTAGGAAACAGAACTATTAGAATCATAGAATCATTAAGGTTGGAAGGCACCTTAAAGATCATTGAGTTCCACCCCCCATGCCATGAGCAGCGACCCCTACCACTAGATCAGGTTGCACAAAACCTTGTCCAGCCTGGTCTTAAAAACCTACAGAGATGGGGCATCAACAACCTCCCTGGGTGATGCATTCCAATTCCTCACCACCCTTATAGAGAATAATTTCTTCCTAATATCTAACCGAAATCTCCCCTCTCTCAGTTTAAAACCATTACCCCTTGTCCTATCACTATCTTCTCTGATGAAAAGCCCCTCCTCAGCTTTCCTGTAGCCCCTTTCAAGTACTGGAAGGTGCTATAAGGTCTCCTCAGAGCCTTCTCTTCTCTAGGCTGAACAGCCCCAACTCTCTAAGCCTGTCTTCATAGCAGAGGTGCTCCAGGCCTTTGATCATCTTGGTGGCCCTTCTCTGGACCCTCTCCAATGGGCCTATATCTTTCTTGTGCTGAGGGCACCAGAACTGTACACAGTATTCCAGGTGAGGTCTCACCAGAGCAGAGCAGAGGGGCAGAATCACCTCCCTGGCCCTGCTGGCCACACTTCTTGTGATGCAGCCCAGGATGCAGTTGCTCTCTGGGCTCCAGCACACACTAGTGGCTCATGTCGAGCTTCTAATCTATTACCAATCCCAAGTCCTTCTCCTCAGGACTGCTGTCTAGTCGTTCTCCCCCCAGCCTGTGTTTGTGCCTGGGGTTGTGCTGACCTTGCACTTGGCCTTGTTGAACTTTATGAGATTGGCCCTGGCCCACCTCTCCAGCCTGTCAAGGTCCCTCTGGATGGCCTTCTTCCCCTCTAGGGTGTCAGCCACACCGTACAGCTTGGTATCATCAGCAAACTTGCTGAGGATACACTCAATCCCACTGTCCATGTCTCCAACAAAGATGTTAAACAGCACTGGTCCCAGTACTGACCCCTGGGGGACACCACTCATCACCTGCCTCCATTTGGACATTGAGCCATTGACCACAACTCTCTGGGTGTGGCCATCCAGCCAATCTCATCCACCGAGTGGATTTTTTAAATTATTTTTAATTTTTTTTTTAAATTAAAAAAAGTAATGTTACTCAGCACAGCCTCCCCACATGCCCCAGCCAGAAAAGCACCACCCCCAGCAACCTCCCCTGCGCTGCCTCCCCCCTCGGCCTCAGCAACTTGGCTTTGAATCATCTGAGCTCAAGTGAAAAATTTCTGTATCTATTATGGCAAACCATTTTGCTGTTATGACACCATTAGCGACACCAGTGCCATTATAGAAGGCAACCAAGTTCTAGAAAAACTTTTTTACCAGCAGTCTCTGCCTTTTTTAGCGTTTAAAAAATCGCTACCAAAAAACCCAGCACACAGTGCAGAAAAACACACCCTACAAATGAGGAACTTACCCAGAAATATGGAAAGCCTTTTGTCTAGAGTGTGCTACATCACTAACATCAATGTTTCTGTTTATCTTCTTTAGTGGAGAGTGGATTTGTACATTCTGTCGGGATTTGTCCAAGCCAGAAGTTGAATATGACTGTGATAAACCCACTCACGACTCTGAAAAAAGAAAATTGGAAGATAATGTGGGTTTGGCACCAATAGACCGTAGGGTAAGGATAAAAGGAGTGCTGTCTTACTGCTTCTTGTATTCTGTGATGTATGCGTCTGTTAAAAAGTGATGGTTAAGAAAGAGAATTAGCTTGTAAAAGGAAATCTGAGATCATAGCAGCCTTCATGTAAGCATGCTGAACAACACATCCTGAATGTGGTTGTGATCTAGTGCTCTGAACAGGGACTGTGTTCTAGGAATTACCAAGTACTGTTTCAAAGCTCTCTCACACACTGACTTTGCATTGAGAATTATGCTGTCCAAATTTGACATAGATTGAGGTTATAAAGTCATGGTTTTAGTCTTAAAAGCACTTTGTCAACATCCTTTTAAAAAATTAAGGTGGTTCTTTCACAATTAAGATGTACAGAAATGCAATACTGATCCTGCAGAGATTAACACAAGTGTCTGGGAATAACTGCTATCCTTTTGCTGCTTTGAATGTTCTAGTGGAAAAGCTACAAAGCAAGCTGTAGGTCTGCCAACTTTGGTTTTTCCCTTACACTTCAGAGAGAAAAAAAAAAGTTCCTTTGAGCTAAGAGTTGAACTGCATGACAGAATCTTTTGGATTCTTGAAGTTTTTTGGGGGGACAAGTTTGCCTTTTCGTAGTTGTTTTGTCATTATTTAAAACCTATTTGAAGCAAATTTTGAGCTGTATTGAAAACTTTCAGAAGTGTTACTTGGTTTCAGTTGGCAACTTGCGTAAATACACTGAAATTAGTATTTTACTTGGGGTCTTGTTCTACCTGTAGAACCATTATTTGCATGTGCTGCTATCTGAAAGGAAAAATGCTAGCTCTGTTTGTATTTTGCTCTAAATGTATGTTATAAAAATGTGAGTTTAAAGTCCTGTAAATAGTCTGCTAAAGGATAGCAAGCATAAAATCACACCAAACTATTATTAGAATCTCTTTCAAGACTCAGGATCCAGTTTAATATACTTGGATACACAAAGAAAAGATATTCCTTCCTTCAGCAAATGCTAAGTAACACTGCTAGTAACTGTGTGTGAGGTGTCATAGGTTGCATTTGACAGTTGGTAATGATCTATTTACTCAGACACAAAGTATATACTGTAAGCCAGTAGTTATGACAGTTAAAGTGACTTCCAAATGCAATTTTGGTTCTCACTTTTCCGCTTAGGAGCTGGGAGAGTCCTGACCATCTGTTTGGTATTTTTGTAGCTTGTTCTATTAGAGCAAATAACATAGGATTCCCTAATTACTTGGGTATTTATTTTCCTTGACACAGAAGTGTGAAAGACTGCTGCTATACCTCTACTGCCATGAAATGAGTCTTGCTTTTCAGGATCCAGTTCCTCCCACAGTATGTACTTCATTTCTTTCCATTGCATGTTGGTAGCATAATTGACATGTTTCTAATGGCATTTTTATGTCCCATCATGGTCCATTGTTGGAAGTCAAGTTTCCCAGACATTGAGTGTATTAAATGTGTTTAATTTCATTAAAACTGTCTGAAGGGCAATGAAAAGTTCAAAGCATTGGGTTGGAAAGAGATTTATTAGTAAAATTCCCCAAGAACTGATTTTACTTAATACTTCAAAAATAGACACAAAAAGTAAGTTCTAACACTGTCTGCTGATTGCCCAATGCTAAATAAGACAAAATGGTGCATTGGGATATGTTTGGTTTTTTTAAAAAAATACATGATTTTGAGATTGAGTACTCCATAGTACTAATATGAAATTGAATTTCTTATTATTAGCTTGAAATGTATTAGTTTAAAATGCTGAACAATACCTGGGTGCATCAGAAGTCCAAAAATAAACAGAAGACTTACCAGCACAATCAGATGTAAAGTATCCCACATGTTCTTCAAGACAAGTCAACGGGAAAAGAATTCATCAATGAGTAATATGCTCTTACGCACCCTTTTTACTCCATTTGAATAAAAATTATTCTTTTGAAGAACATTCCACAGAGTTTTAATAATAAGAAAAGGCTCAAGAGAGTGATTAATCGTATGATGGTCATGTATTGCTAAATTTAGGTATTACAGCATTTCCCTTAAAATGTGAACCTACTTAGGAAAGAGTCGAAAAACATTATCACTGAATTTCATATCTTATTTTGTAATTTCCAGTTCTTTCTAAAGAAAGAATAAATCTCATTTCCAATGACATTTCATGACCAAAATTAATTTTAAGCAACCCATGTACCATCTGTTTGAGTGCCTTGCCAATGTTTCTATTTGGTGTTCTTGAGAGTAAAACTTACTAGATGGCTCATTTGACTACATCCAAAAATAATGTCCAGATAGTTTGTTCTATCAAATGCAGCCAGTGTAGGTAGAGTTTTTATTTGTTATTCTTTTATTTTAAAGTAGGCATTGGGAGGAGCATATTTTAGCCAGCAGAACTAGCATACATCAGTGTTATTCCAGAAACTGTCTGCATATATGTTAGAAGTACAATTCCTATACCTTAGAGTTGTTCTTTGAAGATGACTAAGTCTTGTCCTCTCTCTCAGAGCTAAAGGTTTATAAACCAATAAGTAATGAACATGATTATATTTAATACAAGAAATTTATTCTCCACTTAGGTTCCAGACTACTACAAAATAATAAAAAAGCCTATGGACTTGTCAACCATCAAGAAAAGACTTCAAGTGAACAATTCATTCTACACAAAGCCGGAAGATTTTGTGGCTGATTTCAGGCTGATTTTCCGAAACTGTGCTGAATTTAATGAGGTTAGAAAAGCAGATACTTTATCTGGTTTTGTAGGTTTAGTTGCTTTTGGGAAAACTGTAGTAGGGGTAGAACTTAAAACACAAGAATTTATTGTATTGAACTTACTTTGATGATGAGACTGCAGGTAAAAAAACATAGGTCACATTTGAAACTGCTGTGGTGTTAGATGGCCCTGCAGTGGAGGTCCTTGTGCTGAGGGAAGGAGAATTGTAACAGACATGGGAGCTGAACAGCAGGACAGTAGGTAAAGAGCAGGACAGTTGTTTGTCATGGAGATTAAGGGTGAGCATTCAATTTAAAAATTTTCTTAATCTCCTTTGCCTCAAATCTCAAATTTGGTGTGGTTTTCATTCTGGGAGGTCTGTACTCTCCCTTATGATTTCTGTTTGCATGTTGAGTGATTTAATTTATTATCCCTCACTCCCGGTAAGGGAACACATAGTGAAAAAGGGATGCAGGTACGGAGTGAGAGAGTTACACTGGGAACAAAGGCTTCTCTAACTGGCCTCAGTGGGGTTATCATCCAGTCCCCCTTGATAGCTGGGAATATTTTCTGCTGTAGTGACTTCCACTTCAGGAAACTGGTCAGTCACAGTGGCTATGAATGACTTGATGACTGCCTAGTCTTCCAAGTTACTATCCTCATCCATCCTAATAAAGTTTTCACCAGAATTTAGAAAAAAGTCCTTAAGCTAGAGAAATTCTAGCATTTCAAGCAGTCATTCCAAAACAGTTTTAACACTCTGAAGGTGTGTGTGTGTGTATATGTATCTCACACATAACTTCCTTTTTTTTTTTTTTCCCAGTCAGGATTTAGGAGTTTTTAGGCTCTCCTTCCATAGCATTAAGAACCCAGGCAGCATGGCTTTTGCAATTGGCTTCTGTGGTAATCCGTCCAAGAAAAAAGCCATTGCGGGTGTTGGCCAAGAGATCTGCCCTCACCCTCTGTTCTAAAGGCTTTTGCTTTCTGGGACCATGTGTTCCACAGGTTCTATTCTTACTACTGGTCGACTTTGTAGTTTATAAGTTTATAAGAGCACCTAAAAGATCTAATGTGATCAAAGTCTAAAACTATTTTGTGATGCATTAATGTTGTTCATTCACCCAACAGCCTGATTCAGAAGTGGCTGATGCTGGCGTGAAACTTGAAGCATACTTTGAAGAACTTCTAAGGAACCTGTACCCTGAGACAAAGTTCCCTGTACAACCCAGCTGCCAGAGTGAAAAAGATAATCCAGAACTTACTGATGACTCGGATGATGACTTTGTACAGCCCCGGAAAAAACGCCTCAAAGTGGAAGTTGCTTAAATGAGCCACGTGTTGCTACTGAACATTTTTTTAAAACTAAGAATATTTATCACTGGTATTTGTGAAAAGGGGACAAATCGTAACTGCTTTGACTGGTAGGTTTGTGGGTACTTACGAGACTTTCTGCCCCTTGTCTGAAACATAAATCTAATGGAGATCAAGGTATATGAAGAGCTTCTTTGAGTTTCCAAGCGTTCATTATACTTCTGGAGCCGCACAGAAATTGCCTTTTACGTGGAGTGACAGCTGTTTGACTTGACTTTGAGAAGGAAAAGAAGTTTGTATAGAATTGAACTTAAAAATATTACATGGGCTCAACATGTGGCTTTCTGAGTTTTAAGAAAATGTGATCTCACCAGACTTGTAATTTTACCAAAGGCATGTAACTGGCCATAATTTTATTTCTTTGTACTACATTTAACACAAGCCATGAAAACAGATGGTGTAATATTATTGTCCTGCAATACTGACTGGTACAAGGAAACTGTAGTTGTCCCAAAGAAGTTATTGGTAATTTTAAAATGTAAGGGAGAGTGTATTAGAAACAACTTAAAAAAAAAAAGACACTTGTTTGAGAGTTTTTAATGGAGGAAATAAACTACAGAATACTTTGTTTTGCACCATTTTTCTCACCACCAGCAAGAAACAACGGTATTCCTATACTGTTTTCTTTAACAGGTGTCTCAAGTTTGATGTACCTCTGTTTAATGGAGTTGATAGCAAAGTCTCCAGAAGAAAAATGTTTGCTTGCAACTATCAGTCAATCTTTGTGTATATTTAGAGAGAGAAATGTCTTTTTTATCCACAAGTTCTTGTTGATTTTCCACATTTCTACATATGTTGTCGTCAGAATGCAACCAGCATCATTATTCACTTGGAAGTACACAACTTACTCTTGGACTCCTTGTTAAAAAATACCAGAAGGTGAGGACATCTACCTTCTCTTGTTCTGTCTACTTCCCAGAAGCACTGACAATACTACAGATGCTTGTTTCTGCCCTCAGAGATGGCAGAGGTAGAGAAGTACTTGTCTTTGGTTGCCCCAGCTATTGGTTTGTACTCTACATTTATGTCATCTTCAATGAAAACTGACCTTTTGGGACAGCAGGCAGTATTTTGGATTAATTGGGCTCTGGTTGTGCCAGGATTTTGTAAGTGGAATTGTGAAGACAGCTGAGAACACAGAAGCCTGCTTTTGACTTGTTCTGTAGCACTGATATGGTGCTGTGGATAGACAGATCATTGAGGAGACTAGAAACAAGGGCTGCTTGTTCCTCCTTGCTGTGCACATATGCAATCATAAAAAAGGCCCTTTTTTTGTGCTTCTCACCAGGTGAGATGCTACCTCCCTGCTTTTCTTTCTCTTAGGGTGCACTGCACACTTTATTTGTGCAGACGTTCAATACTGTACATTTCAAAAGAACACTCAGCTGTGTTTGCAGCAGGCCTCTGACAGAGCTTTTGAAATACCTAGATAGCCTGTAGCAAAATTTTACAGTGCTTCCAGATAAAGATGCTGCATGTTTCTGTGGACCTTAAGCTGCAAGAAGTGTGGCCAGTAGGACAAGGGAGGTGATTCTGCCCTTCTGCTCTGGTGAGACCACACCTGGAATACTGTGTACAGCTCTGGAGCCCTCAGCACATGAAAGATGTGGAGCTGTTGGAGAAGTACCAGGGAAGAACCATAAAGATGATCAAAGGGCTGGATCACCTCTGCTACAAATACAGGCTGAGGGAGTTGGGGCTGTTCAGTCTGGAGAAGAGAAGGCTCTGGGGAGAACTCAGAGGGGCCTTCGAGTATCTGAAAGGGCTACAAGAAACTTGGGGAGGGACTTTTCACGAGAGAGGGTAGTGATGGGACAAGGGGTAGTGGTTTTAAACTGAAAGAGGGGAGATTTATGTTAGACATTAGGAAGAAATTCTTCACAAAGAGGGCAGCAAGGTGCTGGAATAGGTTGCCTAGGGAGGTTGTGGAAGCTCCTCCCTGGAGTTAAGGCTTGATTTGATGAAACTTTGTGCAGCCTGGTCTGGTGTGAGGTGTCCCTGCTCATAGCAGGGTGGTTGGAACCTGATGATCTTTGGGGTCCCTTCCAACCTTTACCATTCTGTGATTTAACTATGGCATGAGACACCTATATAACTTCACACTCAAGTTTTGTTCTCCCAGCAGAAAATGGGAGAGAAGCAAGATGTACTCCTGCAGTCCAGTTACTTGCCTGGTTGCATAAGCTGTTTGAAAATAATCTGACTCAACTTGTGTTTTATGGTCTTGAATGTCACCATAAGAAGCTTCAGAAATTGCCACTACAATCAGGTTTGAGATATTAAATTTGACTAATGCAGCTGCTATATGCACAAATAGTTCAGGAATGCTTTTATTATTTTTTTTTTTTAAGAAAACACTATTTTCTTTCAAATGGCTATGGCATAAACTGCATCTAGTTCTGCCTCCCCCCACCTTTCCTCATTCCAGTGAATTTTGGCTGTTCCCCCCCCTTTATTTTGGTGTGTGGAATGGCACTACTAACAGCCCTACTGGTAAAGCGTCTCCACCTTGCTTTATGGGACAGTTAGAAAGCATCTTTTTATTGAATCATAAGAAAGGGAATGTCCTTGAGAAATTTGGCAATAAAAACCATAGCTCTTCCACTGTTTGGTTGCAGGGGTTTTTTTTTATAATGGATATGGTTTGGAGAAGCAATCAACATCAAATGCAGCTCATAGGAAATGACAGATTCCAAAGGTTTATTTTTCTTTCCTACCCAGTCCAACATCAAACGCTCACTTTCATTTTACTTGCTAAAAAGAAGGGGAAAAAATAGATTAAATTAATAAAAGGCACACGAAAACCAACAGAAATGGATACAGAGGAAAATAATATGCATTTTGGTTCTGTCTGAAAGGTCTTGCCTCTGACAGGCACTTGTCCCCATGACTGCTTTGAGGGTGAACTGATGCTGTCCTAATAAACTGAAACAAGTAGATAAGCTGTTTAAATCTATTTGTCTAGATTTCACAAAAAGTTACTTTTCTCTAGTTGCTTCATTCAGACTTAGTTTTATGAAACACATTTATTGCCAAGAGCCTGAGGCCTAAAGACTGCCATGTTAAAAGAGCTTTTATGTGAGGTATTTAAATTCTTGTATGGATTGGGATGACTGTGCTGTGTGAGGCCCTTGGATAATATGTTCAACAGTCACAATCCATCAATCTCTGAGTGACTCTGTACACAAATGTGATCTCTGAAATGACCATGAGATAAGAGTAAGCAAGTTTAATTTAAGATCTAATGTTGGCTTCACTGAGTACTCATGTAGTTCTGCAGCTTTTTATTTTCCATCCTTTTGACTTGCGCATGTCAAGGGCAGCAGCTGGAGCTTACAACTTATTTGTAGCAAGGATAATAATGCTATTAAGTCCCCAGGAAAAGGGGGGGGGGCGTGTCCCATTAAGGAATCATTACACTTGCATTTCTCTTAACCACTATTAGCTAAAGTTAATCCAACTGTAGTTGAATCAAAGCTTGCTTTTTTTTTTTTTTTTTAATGTCTGAAGCAGTTTTAATTAAGTGCTTTGCTAGGTAATTCTTGTAAATCCAACCACTTGAAGGCCTAAGTGACTCTCTGGCCTCTGTGCATGTGGTTAAATTACACCCACAAGGGAGGAATAGCTTGCTTTGACCACTTACAGAATCATAGAATCATTGAGGTTGGAAGGGACCTCAAAGATCATTGAGTTCCAACCCCCCTGCCATGAGCAGGGACCCCTACCACTAGACCAGGTTGCACAAAACCTCGTCCACCCTGGCCTTAAAAACCTCCAGGGATGGGGCATCAACAACCTCCCTGGGCAAACTATTCCAGTTCCTCACCACCCTTATAGAGAAGAATTTCTTCCTAATATCTAACCTAAATCTCCCCTCTCTCAGTCCTACCCCCTGTCCTATCACTATCTTCTCTGATGAAAAGCCCCTCCTCAGCTTTCCTGTAGCCCCTTTCAAGTACTGGAAGGTGCTATAAGGTCTCCCTGGAGCCTTCCCTTCCCTGGGCTGAACAGCCCCAACTCTCTCAGCTTGTCTTCACAGCAGAGGTGCTCCAGCCCTTTGATCATCTCGTGGCCCTTCTCTGGACTCTTCCCAATATGTCTATATCTTTCCTGTGCTGAGGACCCCAGAGCTGTACACAGCACTCCAGGTGGGTCTCACCAGAGCAGAGTAGAGGGGCAGAATCACCTCCCTGACCCTGCTGGCCACACTTCTTTTGATGCAGCCCAGGATGCAGTTGCTCTCTGGGCTCCAGCACACACTGGTGGCTCATGTTGAGCTTCTCATCAACTACCACCCCAAAGTCCTTCTCAGGACTGCTCTCCAGCCATTCTTCACTTCTTAAACTGGTATTTCATCCCCCAGTCTTCTATGGAATATTATATAGATACTTTAAATGATAGTAAAAAAACCCAAACAAACAAGCATTTCTAAAATAAATGCATTTAAAAAAACAGGCAGTTATTACTATGTTGTTTTCCTGAAAACCTTGAGGTAACTGGCCCATGCACCTTGGGGAAACCTTAGAAGACATGACACAATGAACTTAAGTGAGTGTGTCTGTGTTTATATATTCATGGTTTTTCAAACTTTGGTTCTGAATATCATGTAAAACTGTTTGATCAAACCTCTGTCTTGCTCTAGGCTACTAAACACCATGGATTATTTAGCCCATGGTCTTCTCATTTATACAGGTAAGACTGCAGAATAACAGGCAGTGTGATGTGGGTGTGCTGCACACATTATATCAAAATTTCCATGCCAGTATAGCTGGATTGACTAATAACAGACCTGCTCATCACCTCCTGTAATTAGACGAGTGTGATCTGTGCATGGGAAGCTGAATTTAACCTTCCCCCTTAGTCTTCTAGCTGACTGCTTTTTGGGAACCACTAGCCACAAGGGCTTCACTAACAGGATGGTACAATTGGGGTTTTCACTTGAATTTGATGAAGAAATGGCTTTAGGAGTTCAGGGTATCACTTGTATCTGCTGCCCCCTCTCCCTGCAGCACAGGCAGAACAGAATG